TTTTTCCCAAGACTCCCTGCTGTGACATTAACAGGTATTCACTTGTGTGTGTGTGTGTGTGTGTGTGTATGTATGCTTTGAATTTAATTAAAACTTCACAGTTTCTTTGTACAAAAGCATGATTGTGTTTGCGATTGTTTAAAGACGATGAAGACATGGCGTTCATGAGCTCACACCAGACTGGATCAAATAATCCCTGATGGTTTCACTTTCAGTTTTCCTGCCTTACTAAAACAGGAGTGAAGGCAGTTTTTGTTACACTAACTAATAAAGTACATACACCAGTGCTGCACTTAAATATAACAGCAGAGTCTGGAATCAATTATTGCTGCTCATTTATTAGCATCTCATTCTTTTCTCACCAATCTGCAGAGGCTGGAGGCTTTCATTTCTGTTGAGTGCTACTGCTAATGGTCAGGGCTCTCTGGGTCAGACACAGGCTACTGCTGACCTGAGTCAACAGGATGTTATGACCTCAGTGTGTGAAACCAGTGTGGTTGTTTCAGTGCTCTTCACAGCTAAACAAATTCATACATGAATAGCTATACATTCCCACCTTACATTTATTTTTGTGGCAGTTGCTGCACCTCCGTCCCATGGAGGTGGAGCGGCTGACACTGCGGAGCGGAGCCAGGGGGTCTCTGTGGTCATTACCACTGCCACATTGTCTGGGTGCCTTGGGAAACGGGCGGGAATTGATTAATGACAATGGTGGGAGCGCAGGATATTCAGAAGGAGGGTGGCAAGAAAGTAATGCTGCAGAGGTGGATTTGCTGCTATAAATAGGACCATGTCTGGCTACAACTGATTAAGATTATACTATATGAGCATTTCACAGGTTTAAATATTAAAGAGAAGAAGCCGTGACCTGAAGTGTCAACAGTCAGACAGACAGCTTTGTGCTCAAAGGACACAATGTACCTACTGACCGCTTTACTCCGTCACATTGCCCCTACACCCACAGCCCATTTTCTAAATACCCCAGCTGATGTATTTGAAGAGACAGAGAGACTCTGTGCCCAGTGTGTGTGTGTGTGTGTGTGTGTGTGTGTGTGTTCAGTGGACTCATCAGTGCTCTGTTGAAGGCAGGACATGATGCCGGGGAACACTACATTCCCTGTCAGAAAGACAAAGACGTCCAATTTCTCTGTCTTATCTTCCAGCTCTAAAAGGTTT